GTTGGGCAATCTACTTCCATAGTGATACCACCTTGGAAACCCAAGGAGGGGTCGCTATGAGTTGGGTCTGACTCGACGGCACATAACAACAACAACAATTTTATTAGTAGTACCTTTATAAATTCGATCTTTGGATATCTGCAAGTGAACATCTGAGAATGATAACATCAGCAAATTACCACTGCAACATTGCATGTAGTATGTACAGGGCCAGATGAAGGTATGTGAGGGCCTGAAACACTGATAATCTGTGATGTCCCCTCTACTGTGTATGCACACATTCCAATAGGATATGTGAGTTACATATATGCTGTTGTTAGATGCTATCATGTTGGATCCAACTCATAGCGACCAACAGCGAAACACTGCCTAGTCCTGCATCATTTAGACTTTAAAAATAACTTTTTTATATTGGTTTTCACCATGACTTTAAGAATTTTAAAGACTTTATTAATTTAAAAAGCTATTAAATATAGATTGCAGCAGATGGCTTTTTGGAGGGCCGGAATTGGTAGGGAAGGCCAGGAAGCACTGGCAGATAGCTCTTTGGAGGGCTGGAACTGGTAGGGAAGGCCGGAAAACAGGAGTGGAGCAGTTTGGAACAGCTAAGAGAGATGAACTAGTCTGTCAGTTTATCTTACTGGGTGGCTTGTGTGTTACTGTGAGGCTGGAGGCTATGCCACTGGTGTTTCAAGTGCCAATAGGGTTACCCATCTGGACAGATTTCAGCAGAGCTTCCAGACTAAGAGTCAGAAGAAGAAAAAGGCCATCCACTTCTCAAAGAATTGGCCAGTGAAAACCTTATGAAAGTGCTGAAACACTGTCTGATATATTACTGAAAAATAGCCCTGAAACATTGTCTGATACAGTGCCAGAAGATGAGCCCCTCAGGTCAGAAGGCACTTAAATATGAATAGGAGAGGGCCGCCTCCTTGGAATACAGCTGACCTTAACAATGTGGATAAAGTATAAAGTTTTCAGGACCTCCTTTTGCTGATGTGGCACGACTCAAGATGAGAAGAAACAGCTGCAAACATCCATTAATAATCAGAACATGGAATGTACAAAGTATGAATCTAGGAAAATTGGATGTTGTCAAAAAATGAAATAGAGCGCATAAAGATTGATATTCTAGGCATTAGTGAGCTGAAATGGACCAGTTTTGGCCATTTTGAATCAGACAACCATATAATCTACCATGTTGGGAATGACAAATTGAAGAGGAATAGCATGACATTCATCATCACAGAGAATGTTTCAGGATCTGTCCTGAAGTACAATGCTGTCAGTGACAGGATAATATCCATATGCCTGCAAGGAAGACCAATTAATATTACTATTATTCAAATTTATGTACCAACCACCAAAGCCAGAGATGAGGAAATTGAAGATTTTTACCAACTTCTGCAGTCTGAAATTGACCGAACATGCAATAAAGATGTGTTGATTATCACTGGTGATTGGAATGCAAAAGCTGGAAACAAAGAAGAATCACCGATAGTTGGAAAATATGGTCCTGGTGATAGAAACAACTCTGGAGATTGCACGATAGAATTTTGCAAGACCAACGACTTACTCATTGTAAATACCTTTTTTCAACAATACAAATGGCGGCTATATATGCAGACTTCACCAGATGGAGTACACAGGAATCACATTGACTACATCTGTGGCAAGAGGTAATGG